GGTAAAACTGTAAGCACCTTCTGCCTCATTGTGTCATTGTTCCTGTGACTGTGCTGTCACTCCTGCAGTGTGTTCTTGCACCCACAGCACCCTGAACCATTTCAGGACGCAGACCAAGACATCAAAGTCATCAGTTTCATGTGGTTTGATTTCTCAGAGGCCACCGGAGTGCCTCGTGGTCGCTGTTGATGTTGAGAAAAGGTGACAGGGCTGTGAGGTTTAAAACCGTCCCCTAACTTCAGTTTTCAAACCTGTCAGAGCAAGCTGTCTCTCCGTACCACATCTCATGTTTCCAGCTCCCCCATCGTTTGCAGCTGACTGCGCCGCACAGTTTACAGACCCAGGTTTCTTTTCCTAGTCTGCGTGTAGCCCTAGCTGGCTTCCTGAAGGCTGGGATTACTGATGAGTGCCACTGTGCCCAACCGTAGACTGGCCTCTGGTGTCTTTTGGTGTCTCAGGCAAGCTTGAGTCACATCAGTGGCTTTTTTTTTTTTTTTAAAACAGTAGTTCATTGTGCCTAATGGTGTAGAGGCTGTAATTGAAACACCAGTTCTGTGGCAAAGCTGGCCAACCAACGGGGGAAGCAGCCAGGGCAGACCAACAGTTGGCTCCACAGAAGAACAGAATGAGCAGAAGTGGAAGGAAACCCCACTTTAACCTTTAGGACAGTCAGCCTTGTGCCCTGGCAGTCCTCACCTGGGGACCAGATGATTCCCTCTGCACCGAACATGTGCATTCTTTTCTCATTCCCTAAACGAGCAATATTACATTGCTGTAGGCATCCTGAGTTGATGTTAATCGAGTAAGTAGGCTAGGAATGACTGGAAGTATACATGAGGGCATGAGTAGCTTCGGGCCGTTTTACAGTCAGGACTTGAGCTTCTGCTGGTGTGGGCCTCTGAGGAGGGTCTAGGCACCAGGCCCACCAGATGTACTGCTGCCTGAATAACAGGGATTTTACAGTTAGGTAAGAAAGTACGAAAGATGGTTGGGGTTGGTTTCTCATCTGGGGCACCATTCTTACAGTTCTGAGACCACTTGGAGAGCCAGTGGTGCTCCAACCAGGAGGCAGGGAACTGTCCGACTGGTAGCAGTACTGCAGTCACTTCCTGTCATGTGTCCACCTGAGGCCTGCTCTCCACTTGGAATAGGGGGAAGAGACTTGAAATTTGAGTCACCTGATGTGACTGGACCTAGACAGGTAGCTGACTCCCTGCCTGTGCAGCTTCCAGAGGTCCCAGGACCTGGCAGAGAGCTCGTTCCTCAGGCTGAGGTATCCCCAGGAACACCCTCTCCTCAGTCAGGAACGTTATCAGAGTTTGACTTCAGTCCTTATCACTTCCCAGCTCCTGAAATCCCTCCTTTTGGCCTCCTCACCTAAGAGAAAAGCTTGGTTTGCCAAGAAGTTCCAGCTTCTTGAGAGCAGCCTCTTTCCACCCTCCACAGATAAGCCAGTGACCAGCATACAGGCAGACAAGGCCCTTCACCTGCCCCGGCCCCTAGAAAAGAAGAGTGACAACCAGCTTCCTATGGGATAACTGATTATCTAGATTAGATGCCTCTCATGCCTGGATAGGGGTCCAGAGTGTATTAGTGTGCGGCATACAGTTTTGTATGACGCTGGCATTCCCCAGTTGTAGCTAGAACAATAACATGTTGGAAGGGTCAGATCTGGTTGCCAGCTCCACCAGCTTCTGAGTTACTTCAGTTAGCTAAATGTTAATTGCTTAGGCACACCGGGTTCCTTGGCTCGAATGTCCTTGCTGTGGGTATGTGACTAAGCTGTCATCTTAGGCCCCTTCAGGAAAACAAGTCGCTCAGTAGCAGTGCAGTCATCTGGTTGGACTTGGGTGGCTTCCTGGCATCCTGGCATGCCCAGCCTACTTAGACACGCTAGAAGAGAATGCAGGTACTTTTGGTGCTTGGTGCTCAGCTGGAGTCTTGTCAACACCTTTGAAGTCACAGGTTGCAGTCACACCTTAAGGACTCTGCTGTGGGCTGGCATTGTTCCCTCACCTGCTAGAGGAATGGTTTCAGAGGGAGCTGGAACAGCTTCCACAGGCAGCCCTGGCCCCAGCTGTGGCGGAGACACAGAAAGGCCCCATGGGAGACTGCTAGTCTGCTTCTGATACACCACTGAAGCTGCCAGACCTATGGTTTTCATTCTGGAAAAGCACTCTGAAGCCAATCTATACACTCTACAGAGGAACCCCAGCCTCCCAGAGGCCCAGTGACTGCCTGCTGCCTGACAGAACCAGAATTTTTATGTATGCCTGAAGGCTGGCTTTCTGTGTTTCTCGTGAGACTTTAGCTTCTTCAGTACACAGCCACCTACCTGGGAGCTATAGCCACTGGACTCCCTAGTTGGTCAAGCCAGAGGTAAATGAGCAGTTAGTAGCTGAGTGTGGTGGCACACATCTTTAGTCCTAGCTCCCAGGAGACGGAAGCAGAATGATCTTTGTGAGTTCAAGGCCAGCCTGGTTTACATAGTGAGTTCTGGGACAACCTGAGCTACATAGTGAGACCCTGTCTCAAAACAAACGAGCATCTGGTGGCCACAGGAGTTTGTTCCTCCCTCCCACCATGTATGCCATGGCTTCCGAGATTGGGACCTGCCTAGTGCTGCCCCATTCCAGCAGCTAAGAAGGCCTAGCCTAGCAGAGAAAGCAGAGCCACCTGCCTTGCGTGCCAGTGGAGGACACGGGTAAGGTCATTAGCAGCTTGAGTGGGAAAGCCCCTTGCAGAGCTAAGGGAGATGCTGGGTGTAGTAGAATATGCATGCACAGGGGTCAGCCACACTTCCATCCACATTCTGCCTGTCTAGTAGGTACGGTGTGTTTCTGTTTCTGCAGGGTCATGGTAGGGCTGTAAAAGGTTCATGAACAGTGCTGGTACAGGGAGCTAGAAACATGGTGCTCGGTAGAGACATCCACTATACAATCATATCAGCCTGTCAAAAGGTCTAGAACTCTCCAAGAGGCCAGGTGCTGCGTGGTGTCTCTTCATGTCTATACAGTGTGTGCAGTGCCATGTCCTGTGCCAGTTTCACAGGATGGCTACTACTGACAGGAAACGCATGTCCCCAAGTAGCAGTATGGCACTGACTCTTGAAGAGGGAGGGTTTCCTTTTCTAGATGGGTGCATGTCCACTGACCCTCACTACGGGAGGAGCTGAAGACGACATCTGATACTCCTTTAGTACCCTGAGTGTAACAAGTGGAACACAGTCACAGTATAGAACCAGAGGAGGCCACCATACAAAGTGTGCGCTAGGGACATGTTCCTCATTGCAGCTGGTTACTTAGGAAAAGCCAGTTATGATTGTAAAAATTTTATTCTCTTTAATAACAATAATCCCACTAAAATTATACAAAGTACATTCAATACTTAGAGTGGCAGGAGGGTGGGGAGAGGAAGCCGGTTTGTCCTGGAAGCATCATCAGTTGACTCTGACAAAGGAAGCCCAGCTGGGCTGGGGGAAGTTGGGGGTGGAGGTCCGGTTGTAAAAAATAAAAATGTGGACTGGTAAAAAAAGGCCACCCACGAGGAAGCAGGGTGAACGTGCATGTTCCTGGGGGAGGCTGGGGGCTCAGCTGGCATGCTGCGGCTGGGCATGGGCTCAGGCAGGCTCTGAGTTGGTGGGGGGTAGGTTTTTATGCTTGAAATACTGCACTACTTGCTGAGGCAGCTCCGCCAACACCGCTTTGGCCAGAGTTTCTTTTGCTGCCTGTGGAGCCCAGGTGGGGAGAAAAAGGAAAGAGGAGGAGGATTAACGAGCAGAAGTTGGGAGATTCACCAGAGCTGTGCCCTAGAGCTGTGATACTGGGGGGGTGGGGGGGTCGAAGAGTACCTTAGGGTTGAGGGTCAGGGCCATCTGAAATGAGTGGTCCTCGTCCCAGCCCAGCCTAACCCCACCACTAGCAGTGCCTTCCTCACTGAGGAAGTGCTCTTCCTTCATAGGCTGGAGGTGTTTGGGGAAAGACCTCAGAGGATGAATTTAGGGGAAAGAACTGGTTCTCCCCAGTCTCGTTTCTACTCAGCTGGAAACACTTCGACTATGCGAAGCAGCAGTGAATGCACACACTGCAGCCAGGCACAGCACATGTCCAGTCACTGCCCCATATGGCAACGGATGACCGATGCCCCACATTTGTCCTAGGAAGCCAGAGAAAGGCACACAGTCATCCTAGGCAGATGTATGATGACCACTGGGCCACCACCTGCCGAGCCTGGTTCTCAGGCTTTACCTGAGGGGACTGAGGCTCTCAGTAAGGTCATGGCATACCTAACACCATGTGATGCATTATCAGTCCCAGTTAGAACCTAGGCTGGCCTTGCGCAATGCCACCTAAAGATCCATCCAAAAGACAAAGCATCTCAAGAGCCTTCTGCCAGCCCTGGCCTCCTCACGGGTCATCTGAAGAAGGCCAGTGCCACTTTCAGGAAGAGGCTGGCTATCACCACTATCACTAAACCTCCCCTATATTTTGGAAAAGAAAGTCAAGCTAACAGGAGGAGGGGCTTCCCACCTGCAGAATAAGGGCTGATTGAAGAAAGCACAGGCAGCCCCACTTCAGGCCTTGGCTCTCACCTCACCAGCCCCCAGTGGTCTGTCCATCAGGCTAGTTCTTACCCAGGACACTGCCTAGAGCCATAATCGGGATTAGTTTCCACTCCTGGGTTCCTCTGGTTTGTGGAAATGAGTGTCACCATGGCCTCCTCTGGGGCAAGCGTGACACAGTAGCACCCGGCTCATCGTGGGCCCTCAGAAGCCAATAGTATAGGGGGAGGAACCTGAGACTGACCTGTCATGGACCATGCACTCTGTGGCGGACCCTGCTGCTGCCCTTCCTGGCCCGGGGGCCCACACTCACATTGCGGAACTCTCGGAAGGGCACAAACTGCACGATGTCGCGGGCTGCCTCCTCGCCGGTGTGTGAGCGCAGTCTACGGTTGTCCCCGTCCAGAAACTCCATGGCTGCGAAGTCAGCGTTGCCCACCCCCACAATGATAATGGACATGGGCAGCTTGGAGGCCTGCACCACGGCGTGCCGTGTCTCCTCCATGTCGCTGATGACCCCGTCGGTGATGATGAGGAGGATGAAGTACTGCTGTAAGGAAGAGTCAGCCAGGTGATGAGAGTGAGGCCCTGGCACCCCTCCCTTCCGAATCCCCGAGGCCTGAAGGCGGCAAACGGCCCACTCAGTGGGACACTCCCTGCTCTGAGCTTTTGCCAGTTGCTGCGTAGTATAGCTCCAGGCCACTGAGGCTTAATCTGCTGTACTTCAGTTTCATCATCTCTAAGCTGAGAATTACTGCCCAGAGCTGGCCTGTCAGCTGCCTGACAGGCCCAGGCTTGCACAGGAACACATGCTAGCCTGCAAGCCTCTGGGGCTGGCCTCCTTCCTCTGTCTTTGTGGGCAGGGATACGTATGCTCTGTTAACTCAATACTAAGGACAGATGGAGACACCTGCAGGGGCTAAGCACAGATTATTTGGGCCATCACTTCTGGGATGTGGATCCGGGTCACGTATTGTTGTAGTATTGTTGGAACTGGGTCAGGAGGAGCAGGTTTAAAGTTTAAAGTTTAAGGTTAACTGTTCTATACACAGTTCCCAGGAGGCAGCCTTGGGGCAGACTGATGTCTTAGGCCTTTGGCTTTCATGGACCCTCTTCAACAGAAGGTAAGAAGCTTGGGGCTTTAGACAGCATGGGCTCCAGGCAGACCCTGACATCATTGTACAGTTTGCTCTGTGTCTCCCTGCTACCCTCTGTTTATGGTGACACCAAACTTTCATATAGCGAGGTGTTTTTTTATAAATGATTTCAGCTAGAATATATTAAAGCCAGGTGGTGGTGGCACATGCCTTTAATCCCAGCACTCGGAAGGCAGAGGCAGACAGATCTCTGAGTTCGAGGCCAGCTGGTCTACAAGAGTTAGTTCCAGGACAGGCTCTAAAACTACAGCAAAACCCTGTCTCAAAAAAAAAAAGAAAAAGAAAAGAAAAGAAAAGAATATATTAAATAGTGAACATGGGTAATCAGAGAATAAAATACACAAAGGATGACTTAGTATGGAGAGGGTAGATGGCATTCTGAAAATTCACAGGACAATCCAACCAATGGGCCTCGGACTTGGAGTTCATTGGTACCTTACTTTCAGCTCAGCCCTGTCCTGGCCATCTTGGAGCGCTGTTAGGAATTCAGTGTTCTGCCCTGCCCATGAGATAAACAGAGGAGCAGTGTCCTGATTCACTGCTGGGGGCTTCTGTCCTCTAGTCTGACTCCTGATTGCCAGAAGGAAAAGCCATGATGCTCAGGGAGGGCAGAGGTGACCCAGGTGGGCACGGAGCCACCTTCGCACGTAGCAAAGCTGCGCAGCTTGCAGACGATACAAACCTGCTTCTTCTTCTGTCCCAAAGTACAAACTACAGGTCAGGGTGTGGTGGGCTGGTGCAGACACTGGCCCTACCCTCCTCACCCCAGCTCCAGTGCTGTGCCTTTAAGAGACCAATCCCCAGGCTGGGGATAGTTGTTGCCATGGAGATAGTAGCCTGAACTGCACAGCAGACAGCTACCGCTGCCAGCCCCTAGGCCTGGTTTTATCAGTCCATCTAGACCCTTTCCCTGCCTCTGCCAATGGCTGCTTCAGGGTCTCTTCCCTAACTAGCTTTTCATTCACATTAACCTTCCCTCCCAGGCGGTTCAGGGCAATATTCTTGGGACACTTAGGAAGAGGCCTGACAGAGGTCTAATTGGCTGCTCAGTCAAAGGTGGCACTTGTCTTCAAGCCTCACCCAGTTCTGACATGTGTCCCCTACTTCCTGTGGTCCCCCCACTTCCTGTGGTCCTCTTGCTCTCTGTTATAGCCTGCTGTCTCCCCACCCCCCAAGGATCTGAGTGCAGAAAGGCAGGGCCTGGCTCCTGCTAGACTGTGGGTACAGTAGGCTGGGTAAGAGGTTCCTAACAACGTAGGACCTTTAGCAGAAAACCTAACTGTGAGTCTGCCTTACAGACCACCAGAAGGCTCAGAGGGATTCAATGGCTTGTTAAGGCCCCGTTAACAGGTAACTGACATGTTCTAGGTTTATGCCCAAATCTACCTGACCACAAAGCTGGGGCTCCTTCCATGCTGTCCTCTGCCATCCACTGTATTGGTAGGTGGACACGGTGAGCTATCTTGTCACCCATTAACCTGGGATTGGAAAGTGAGTGATTGGGACAGTGACCTAGGGCAAAGTCCAGAAGCCTGGCTATAAACCTTCCCTCCTGGGTGCCATCGCCAGCTGGGACAAAGCCAGGTTCATAACCTGGAGCTTCAGAGGTCCACCACCACCTCCAGAGGTCCCCAGAGCAAATCAGAAGGGCTGTGGAGGGAGAGAATGGATAGAAGGGGTGGAAAGGGACTCTGAAGTCCTGGTGTCCCTATTGTGCTGGTCCCTTCTGATCCCCTTCCTAGCCACAGCTCTTAAGTGAGTGTCGAATCCTCTGTCCCAAGTAAATGTGCCCTCTGCTTCTACGGCCAGTGATGATTCCACAGGAGACCCCTCTGCACACTCCTTCCCTGCACCCTAGGTGCTCCTGACAACCCAACACACACTGCATGTCAGGGGCCTGGAATCCAATGCAAGCCTCCAGTATGTCATCAAATAGACTCCCCGAGCCAACTCCCAGTACATTCAAAGATTCCAGGCATGCATCGGTGCTAGGACTGTGCACAGCCACTTCTCCTAATGCCCCGATGACCGGGTTCATGATAAACGGACATGACCACAACAGTTCCAGGCAGAGTCTGGGGAAGCTGGCAGTTTCTGCCAAAGGCCCTGGGATGGGAGTAAAAGACATTCCTAGGAGGCTGGCTGCTGCCTATACTCCATCTGACACTGGATGCTTAGGCCACCAACCAGGAATGGGCCACAAAAGACAAGGCCTTACTGACCAAAGCAGAGGCCACTTTCAGGCCACTCAAACCTGCCCATTACCCTCCAGTGGCTCCTCATTGCCCTCAGGAGGAAACCACACAGAGCACCAATGGCTTCCAAGGGTGCCAGCCTTCTCAACCTTGCCTGCGCTGTCACTCCTATCCACTACACGCACACATGCCTTTGGACGTGCTGTTCCCCTTGCTGGGCCATTATACACACGCACACATGTATAAATGCACAGATATAACCCCAGGAAGCTAACTCTTAAGAGTCTCTCAAGTCTAAGTCTGGACATCCCCTTCTAAGCATCCACCTTTCCTTGTGTCCTCTGTCAGTTAGGTACCGTCTGTATGGTCCTGCACTGCAGCCATCAGAGGCTTGGCCACACTGCATCGTTGCTGTGGCCTCCCAGCTAACTCCCGCTAGCCTATAAGCTGGACCGCCCTTGTCCAGGCATCCTTAAGGTTACACAGCAATGCTCAGAAAAGACACACGGACCAAATGAATGGAAGAGCGAGGCCCGCTGGAGACACTGCCACCTGCCCTCCGTTTCCTACATGTGGATGTGCTGTGTGTGCAGATGTGAGGGAACCGGGGGGTGACGTCACATCAGCTTCCCCAGCACCAAAACATGGCTAAACAGAAGCAGCAGCTAGCACTCCAGTTACTTCTGTTTGCCGTGGGCCTCACGGTGCACAGCATTACCAAATGCTAGCCTGCGCAGTGCCCTCCGACATTCTCATAACTAACACATCGCGTGTGCCAGGCTCTAGGCTGAACAGTGCGCATGCGTATTTGGTTGAATCCCTACGTTACCTACAGAAGGAAAGTGCTGGATGAGAAAAACCAAAGCTCAGAGAGCTTCAACTACCTGCCCTAGTAGCACAACCAGAAAGTGGGGGAGATGAGGCTCGAACTAGGTTCTTTCCCCTTGAGCTTGAGCCACCCCACAGCCCGACTCACCTCCTTTGGTGGAGAGGGTGGAGGCAAGTGGTGGAGAAGTCTGCATCTACTCCTGGGCCTCAGAGCGGGAGGAACAGTAGAGACTCCGGGCCCTACTCTCTCAGTTAGAGATGCTTAGGCATCATCTGAAGTCACAAGGCCTGAGGGGTAACAGCTTACCCCAGGAAGCCAAGGGTGGCTTGCAATAGCAAGTAAGACCAAATGGGACTGATTCCAGAGGGGTCAGAGCAGGTGTCTGAGCGCAGACAACAAAACAAAGGTGAGGCTCTCATGGGTGAAGAGGAGTGGACAAGACCCTAGAGACCTGGAGTCCCTCCATCATGAAGCCACACGTCTCCAAACCCTACCTCCTGCCCAGCTGACTCCTGGCTGGCAGCAGGTATGGCAGGAAGCAGAGGCTGGGCATACTACTGGAATGTGTTTGTGTTCCCCGCCCAGATGGTTTTTCCTAAAGAAGAAAGCAGGCCTGTCTTCATTCCTTTCTAAGACTCATATAGCCAACAGCCTTGTTGGCACCAAGCTTGGCACCCTCACAAGAGGGAAGTGAAGCTGAAGGCTGCTCACTACTCTGCCCTATCCAAGCTATTCTATCTCAGAATCCCCAGCAACTAAAGAACAACAACAGAACACGGTCCCCGCCAGGCCTCACAGAGTTACCGTCCATTCAGGTCACCCCATCTTACATCACCACAGGGGTCAGCACCCCCACCGTGTCAGAGGAAATGGGCTTAAAGAGAAGCAGGAATCTGAGTTCTCAGCTGCAAACTGAGAGACTCATCTAATGCACGGTACAGACCACTAGCCCCTTCCTGGCTGTCCCTCCCTCAGCACTTTGTGGGCACTATTCCCACTCACTTGTTCAAGGCCTCGCGTGGGGGTACTCCAGGATTATCAAATGCTGACCTGGGCAGCCTGGCATGACCCTCTGTGACACCAACAGGACACTGATGTGCTCTAGGCGCATGGAAAGAGGCGTAGAGCACACGACTGGGACGGGCTTCCTCCCCAGAGCCTTATCTGCCTCCAAGACAGTTAGGACAGACCCAGTTCTTCCCAGAGCCAGCCCTGTGTCCTCTTCTCAGCTCTTACCTCCCTTTTTCTCTGCTTCCCCAGTGACCAGGTGCCTCCTTCCTCTGAACAGCGGGCCCCTTCTTCATGGTGGAGAGTCTTCCCTTTGGGATAGGCTAGCAGCATGGTCTCACAGACCTGATCCCATCTACCTACAGAGCACTGTGTTCCTGTCATCTGTCAGGCACTGTGCCAGGCTTAGGGTCTATAGTGAATTGAGTACACTGAGCCCTGGCCCATGTGGCTGAATCTAGAACCGACAGGTACGGAATCGAGGGCCAAGAGGCTGCTAAGTTGGAACAGAGGCAAGAACGGCAAGGCGGAGTCAGACCAAAAGGAGGTGGCCGTGGGGGGCCAGTGAGTCGCCATGCAGTGTGGGGAAGAGCCTGTGTGGAAGCACTGTCGTCTGGGCCTGGGGGAAGGGACGAGATGAGCAGGGGGTCACAAATCTGACTTCCTGCAATGCTCCAATGGCACTGCTTTCCCGATGGCATTGCTTTTCCAGGAAGCAAGGCCCAGCACACTTCAGCCTCAGAACCAGACGGACAGCAATCTAGAGAGTCCGCATCTCACCTGGCCAGGGAACCAGGGGAGGTGAAACATCTTCCTCTCTAGCCCCATCCTGGCAGGAAGATAAGAACACACATCCCAATCGGATCTCCCTCCTGTTGGGCAGGGTGCCAGCCACAGCTAGCCTCATCCCAGCGTGCGTACGCCCTTGCTGCCTACTTACCGTTGCCGTCTGCTGCTGTGTGGCCTGGGCTGCAAACCGGGCCACGTGGTTGACGATAGGGGAGAAGTTGGTGGGACCGTAGAAGCGGATATGGGGCAGGCAGGCTGAGTACGCCTGGGCAATGCCATCCACACCTGCAGAAGATGACCTGGGTCAGCCCAGTGCCTCTGGGCTCCCGTCCTCACCCTGCTGCTGACAGAGCATCTACTCCATGCTCCCCCAGAACATCCCTGACATGGCCAGCTTGGTCTTGAAACAGGAAACTCTCAAGGACAGGGCTAAGGTCCTAGAGTGTCTGGCTGTGAAACTCAGACAGGCCTGCGTGGAGGCCTGGGGTGACCTGTTTAAGCTTCCAGAGCCTCTCTTAGTGGGTGAACGGCAAAGAAGGGGCCAGGCAAGCAGGTGATACGGGGAACTACCTGGAAGTCCACTCTGGATATTCTTGGAAGCTGCTTTGGTGGGGGCTGGACTTGAACAGCTCCTTACAATCATGACCAGCCAACACTTCACAATGCTATGCTCCTGGCCAGAAGGCCTCTGGCCAGGGCTGACATGGACCAACCTAAATTGACATATGTCTTTGAGGACCTGTACTAAAGCAGAGCCCAGGGAGCACTGCCCATCACTTATGGCCAAGGGACACCCTCTATTCCCAAATCATAGCTATAGCCCTAGGGACATGGGGGAGTTCCTTCTCTGTGGAGTTCATCCTGGCCCAGCGCTGGGATCCCCCAAAGGAAGAGAATGCTCTTTCATTCCCTTCAGCATCCTCTATCCTCTCGGTTTCTGAACTGTCTTGAGCTACATGTGGGGAAGGGGTGGAGCTGAACTACCATCGCCTCCTGTCCCCTCCCTGCCGGGCCACCATCATCGTTGGCCATCAGGGGAGAGGGGCAGGCAGGAGATGAGAGCAGGAGTGTAACGATGCCTTCCGAGACTACACACTGCTCTGCTACCTGTCCCCCCAATTCTTATCTACTTCCCCATGCACCCGAGGAACGAGGTAAGCAGGTATCACACTTCCCTGGGGCCAGAAAGGGGGGTAAAGGCTCAGAGAGGTTCAGGGACTTCTACAAGGCTTCATCAGGCACAGGCGGCTGTGGTCCTTGAACTCAGGACTGCAGGATTCCACACTCCTCTCACCTGTCCCTCTGAGGAAGCAGGACAGGGAGGACAGACACTGGAATCCTGTCCCTTCCCTCTGCCCGCTTCTTCTGCAGGAAGGGCCCACACTCACCTGAGCAGAAAGGGTTGGTGGGGTTGAAGTTGATGGCAAACTCATGGGACACCTAGGAAGCAGAAGACAGGCTGAGAGGCGGCATCCTGCCCACATCAAGGTCACCCCCTCTGTGCTGTGGGAACGCCTTCAGCCAAGAGCCTTCAAGCGACCATGCATATAAGAGACCAAGCCCAAGTGGGCTGGTATCTTAAAGGCTATTGGCTGAAGGAATGCCCACAGCACCTCTGGGGTTTTACTCCCTTACTCTGCCATATCTAGGTTACTGATCCCACATCTGCCTCCCTTACTTCATAACGGTGAGACTGAGACCTTACATGCCAGTTCACTGTCCTCTGGGGGGGGTGGGGTGTCCAGGATGCTGTGTACCTCCCTTGCCAAGAGACCTTGAATGGGACAGAGATGGCCCCAACGGCAGTGGGGTCCTGGAACACTAGAAATGCCCCTGTTCGCTCTTTCCATTTGGGGAGCCACTTGTTTGGGCGTTGAAGGCTTTTCCAATCTCAGCACCAGGCAGGGTGTTAAACAGAAGTCTACCTCACACCCCATACAACTGGGATTGGCTACTGCTCATGGCTAAACTCAGGAATCAGACCTTGCAATGGGGCCGAGTGGGTCACACATAGGCTATGTAGCAACCCAAGACCTGATCCTGCATCCCTGGGGTTGGAGAGTGGGCTTAGGGGCAAAGAGCACACTCTGCTCTTGCAGAGGACCCAAGTTCAGGTCCCAGCATCTATATCTAGCGGCTCACTAACACCTGTAACTCCAGCTGTAGATGAACTAATGCCTTTGGCTCTGCCAGCCCCTGCAATCACATGTAGGAGTCCCCCTCTGACACACATGCATAATTAAAAATAAAGTAAATCTTTAAAAAAAAATAGCTGGCCTCTCAAGCTCTGGAGCCAAGCCACGTCTGCTCCAGCACCTGCTGAGCCAGTAGGCTGGGTCCCGGATCCACTCTGTCACAAACAAGGGCTTCACAGCAACTGTATTCCAGGGACTAACACGGCAGGAGAGAACCAGGTGCCTCCACACAGAAAGCACAAGTAAACGACTGGGTGCTGTGAGGACAGTGCCAGGGCAGACAGCCAACCCCCACGCGAGTGTGGACGATGTAGGCCAGGGCTCCCAGGGAGCAGGAGCACCAGGCGGGGCACGGTGGCAGGAAGGAGCCAAGGAGAAGTAGTCAAAGATAAAAGGCACATGGTAAAGGAAGAGAGGAAGGCAGGTTCATTGGACGAGTCAGGTGGCAGAATGTCAGAATGAGGGCCCAGGAGGGCCAGGTCTGGTATACTCTGGCAGTGTGCCTGGCCGCTTAGAGTCCACTGTGTTAGCACCACTGGGTGCTTAGCCTGGCCAAGGCCCAGCACCCCCAGTATTACCCTGTGACATTTCCAAGGCTTTTGCTCAAGAAACATCTCATTCGGCTGAGTTCTTTGGAAGCTGGCTGTTGTCCTAGCAACAAGCTCTTGCTGGGCCTGGCCACTGGCTCCTCCTTCCCCCACTGTGGCAGCTATGTTTGCCCAGAGCCCCAGTCTGGATCCTTGGGCAAGCACTCACATTCCTGCCTCACACTGTTCAGGGCTAGGATGCTACTGTTCCTGTGTCAGATCCAGAGTCACTCGGCTGCTCTAGGTGAGCCCTGAGGTGAGCTGAGACAACGGGAGGCTATGCTCGTTCTAGAGGTGTGTAGCACAGCAGGGCAGACTAGAAGGGGAACTTGCTGAGCTGGCATGCCTGCCATCCCCACAGGCTCCTCCTCTAGGAAGCAACAGATTTGGACATGATCCTAGAGTCCATCTGCACACCTGGAGCACAGGCCCGTGGAGTGAAGATAACCTCAGGCAAGCCTTGGCTGTTCCATCTGTGAAATGGGATAGTGCTCTATGGCTCTGGTTGCAGAAGCTCTCCAGCTCTGTGGCCTGTGTTCTCAGTGACTTCCCAAGCTGGGCCACCCAGAGTTTCCTCCTGCCATATGTGAGGTCCTTATCAGTCCTCCACCAGGGCCACTCCATGGGCATCTAGGCTCTCTCTCTCCTCCTCTGTCTCCTTTCCCGAGACCTGCCTGCCTTGGCCCTCCTCTCTCCCTGGTACTTTGTAAACTCTATTGCTCATCCCATGTCTAACCAAGAATCCCACTATTTCCATCCAATGTTGTCAGGGAGGCTGAGGGTCCCTTCTCCCTGCCCTGTGACTCAGACCGCTGGGTACTCTATCCTCCCTGAACCCCCTTTGCTAGCCTCTTCCACAGTGAAAGAGGGACCACAGCTGACCTCTGCAGCTTGGGGTAAGATTACAAGGAAGCCAGCCATCAGGTAGAGTTGCCTGCAAAGTGCTCCAAGAGCCAACAAGCACTGCTCCCTGACCTTTTGCCTTTCCTGATGTCCATGCTGTGACTTCTCCCTGATCTGCTCCCCCCATTCCACCCTCCCACCTCAGCTCAGTCCTGCATTCCTGACCAACTCTGTGTGCCTGGCCTCTCCATTTCACCCAGAGTGGATCTTGGCCCTGCAGCAGGTGTCTACCCCTCTCTCTGCCTTGCCTTCCAGACCATCCTCTGCTGGGCTCTTAGCCTCACTCACAGAGGTACTGGACTAAGACGCAAGTGCAGTCTGGGCTAAGCCCTCCACCCCATTCTGCCCCGGCCCCAGTTCCATCTCCACCAAAGGAGGTAGCCTCCATGCCACTCACCTTCCAGTCTGGAGGTAACTGGGCCCCAAACCCCAGAGCAGGGAACATCTTATCACTGAGCAGACAGAGAGAACATGTGAGACATTTGGGCAGCCCTCCCAGCCAGACACACACGCATGCACACACACACACACACACACACACGCCACACCCTCCTCCTCTGGTCCAAGTCTTGTGTCCCTTATGCACCCTAGGAACCAAGAGCAGAAATTCCCCCTCCAGAGTTATTCCCCACTAAGCCCAAGCCTAAATTCACCCTTGGGTGGCAGTTGAACACGGCAGGACACAGCAGACATTGTTAAATTCTAACCAGTGGGCCTAGAAACACCCTAAGATCACAGTGGAAGCAAAAGGACTGGTTCCAGGCTTCCAACTTCCTGTTTACAGTTGGGGGGGAGGGGAGGCACTCCTAAAATGATATCCATGACCTACCTCCATTAGCCCCAGAACCTAGTTTCACCTTCTTCCTGTCCCTGAAAGCCACGCTCGGCCCTGGCCTCTCACAGTTCCTCACACATATAGGACACCCTGTCTCAACGTCAGCCACTATGCTCCATTTGAAATAGCCCTCCCTAAATCTGTTTTCCTTAACAAACTCCTCACCCGCCAAGGCCCAACCATAATGGCTACTTCTCTTTAAGGGCCACTGACAGGTCCCTGAGACCCCATAATGCCTCTCTTTGGTGCTCCCATGACTTCTGCCTCCCCTGTAAACAGATGTCTCCAGATCCCAATGATTCTTCTAACAAGCTTCTGGGCAAGGACAGTGTCTTGTTTGTTTACTCGTTCAACATTTTTATCAAAGACACTCTGGCTGCTGTGCAGGACACGAACTGATAAAGCCCAGGACAGAGCAGGAAGACCAGTTAAAGGAGATGCCAAAAGGGAGGCAGAGTCCCAGCCGCCCCATGGGGTTCTGCTGAGCCTGAGGGCCAATGGAGGCCATGGGTGACCTGGTGGGTATCAGGGTCTTCCACCTGACCATGAAGCCTTCCTTGTTCCGCATGTTGTGTGTGGCCTGTAAGCTCGATGCCCTAAAACTGGGCCATCTAGGCCCTAGTCATCAGCTGTGTTCACTCAGACACATTCTTAAAAAACAAAGCAAAACAAACAAGCAAACAAAAACCTGGTTCTCACTATGTAGCCCTGGCTGGCCTAAAACTCACCTCGGTAGCACCCAGTTGACCTTGAACTTACATAGGTCAGACTGCCTCTGTCTCCCGAGTGCTGAGTGCTGGTTGGGCAGTTACTAAGTCCCACCCAGGCCTGCACCCCAGCTATGAAGGCAGTAGCTGCAGTGTAGCAACTTAGCTTCATCTTCCATGCTAACTCATTTGCTTACTAGATAATTGGCACGTCACGTATAGAAAGAGTCCAGTTTGAACCCGGGCTTGGCAGGTGAGAGTACAGGAATCAATGGGCAATGTCTGCCATGGGAGCGGAAGGGACAATAACTGTGTACGTGCCTCCTTGCTCACCGTTCCTAGGTTTGCAGATCCCTGGGTCCCTTCTAGCCCCGACAAGCTGAGCGTCCCAGGCTGAAGGGACACCGGCTGACCTTCACAGTCACCTCCAAGCGTACCTGTCGTAGTCCTGGATGATCTGTCCTACCGCCCAGATGGCTGACAGGTATTCGTTGGTGCCCATGGGGTTGATATAGTGCAGAGAAGAAGGGTCGAGGGGATTCCCGTTGGAGGCTGTGAAGTCTATGCCAACCTGCAGAAGGAGGGAAAAAAGGCCAAGCAGTGTGGCCAGCCACTCAGGGACTAGGAGGGCCCAGTGGACACAGAAAGTCTACACATTCCGCAGCCCCCACAGTCGGGATAACGGCTGGAACCTTCAAACTGTTTGGCTGTTACTCTTCTGCTCTCATGCCACGCGTGGCAGGGAAGGCTGGCAGGCCCCTGGGGTGAGGAGTAGGAATTGGGCTCTGAGGCCATTTGGAGCTTGCACTACAGAAACAGGCAAAGGAACCTTTCACCTTGTAAACAAGTAACAGTCCAGTGCTCACTATATGCCAGGGACTGTGGGACAAGCTGAGGTAGGAGGAGAAGGAAAATAGAGAGGGTTCAAGTTCATGGCCCTTCCAGCCCAGGAGAGGGACGAAGGCGAATGAATGGAAAATTCCTCAGATGCTTTCAGACAAGACAATGAATGCCAGATGTGTCAGAGGACAGAAAGCACCAGGGGAGGTTGGCAAAGGTGACAGAGAGAACCATGCAAAGCCCTGGGGTGGACAGAGAACTGCCAGGAACAGAGTTGTGGCCCAAGTGAATGGAAGAGAAGGAAGGAGCAAGGGGATAGTGGAACCCTCCGGGCCAGTGGGAGGAGCTGACCTTTCTCCTCTGTGGTGGGGGGTGGGGGGGGGTGGGGGAGGTGGGGAGTGGGGGGGTGGGGAGGGGAGGGGGAGGGCCTGGGCCCTGCTCTGCCCCCAGCCAAGCCTGACTCAGCCCACCCACCAGGACACACTTCCCTACACCCTCTCCTCTGAAGTCAGTTGCATCCCCAAGGAAATCCTTACTAAAGTCTATCACTTGACCCCGATGCTGTGGCAGAGGCCTGAACACTGAGGGAGGACCATGGGTAGGCTGGTGGCAGGTAGGGGGCTTACGGTGAACATGAGCTGGCAGCCTCCCAGGATGTAGTCCAAGAATGAGTAGTTCCGGTGTATCTGGAAGAATTGGTGAGTCAGTGGGTCCTGGTTGGGCTATGGATGTCCCTGTAGGAGTTGGTGCGTGTGTCCTGGAGCCTCAGGAGAAGGCCAGAGACAGCAGCTGGGCCTGATCTGATCACAACAGACTCCAGACCTCTCTAGTAAAGGCCATGAGCGGATGAGGAACCCAGAGCACGGGGTGCCATTCTAGGCAGGGACCAGCTCCCAGAGCCAGTCACGCCTGCCAATCAGTCATCCAATGGAGGAAGCCTGCATTCAACACTCACTGGATGCTGGGCAGCCACCTCCCCAAAGCCTCGCTGCCTCCCTTGCTAACACACTCCAAGTGCAGATGCCCGTCCAAGGCCTCCCGAGCAGGGTAATAGCTAGGAGATGCCGTGTCCGCTGTCAAGGCCTCTGCCTCCTCCCAGCAAAGCATGTTTTCAGGTCAGGGGCATCAGGGATCTCTCCAAGATAAATGCAATTAAGCAAAAATTTTAAAGGGGCATGCCCCTCCCATGCCTGTCACGCCTACACTTGGAAAGATGACAAGTTCGAGGCCAGTCTGGACTGCACAGGCAGACCATCTTAGAATCGGGCTGAACTGGAAGAAAACAGCCAGGCGGGCACCAAAATATGTTGAGTGGCAGGTGTTTCGGAAATGGATTCAAAATCATGCTTGGCATTGACAGCACTGTCTGCAGCGCTGCCACCAAAGGGCCCTGTGACCCTGTGACAATCTGGGCTAAAATGTGACTAGACTAGGGAGGCCTCAGCAGGCAGCAAAGCCATGCTCTCCTGCATGTGAGGCCGAGCCAGGCGCACTTGTCCACTCACGCTGCCTTCCTTACTGTTCGGTCTGCCAACGTGGCTTGACCACAGTGTTTTGAGTCTTAATGTCCTCATTTCTACCAGGGCAACCATAGCTGCCTGGGTCCTCACTGATGCCAGAAGCCAGGGCGCTCAGTCCCAGCGTCTGCCCCAAGTGTATGGAATTAGCCTCCAGGGTAGGCAGAAGTGGTTCCCAGCTAGAAAAATCCCCTGGGAAATCAGCTCACATTCTTCCTGGCTCTGTACAGGAAGGGGATAGGAGACCAAGCCGCAGCATGTTCTGCCTTTCAACACACCCATTCCTCAGACAAGGAGACCAAGGCTTCTGTGTACCCTCAACTCACCTTGCATGATCTCAGGATAATGATACCCGAGTTCTTGTAGCTCTTCTTCTTCCTCTGCTTTTTGGGGTTGATGCATTCCATCTCCAGCTGGCACCGCGGGAAGGAAGGGAAGCTCAGCTGGGGGATCTCAAGACCCCATTCTCCCAGGGCTCCAGAATCCCCTCTACAACCTAGACCCAGGGTCAGATGCCTCCCCAGAGAGGTTCCCTGGGTGGCCTCCTCCAGACTACTTTCTAGGTGCCCAGGCTTTGGGGGCTGTTCTTGCTTCATCCACACCCTGAACCTCTACCCCACAGACAGAGGGAGAAACTGAGGCTCAGGGAGCCTGTCTTTCTCAAGGTCACAGAGGCAGAAGAGGAGCACCTATGTGCTGGGGTCAACGTCCTGGACTTCTCTGCAGTCACTGCTGGGACCCGGCGATCACAGCACATACACCCATCTTACCGGGACGCCATCCCGAGCCTCATTCATCTGCAGCACAGAGGTTTGAAACTCGCCGATGAAGTCGTGGCCTCCATTACTGTCGTAGTCGTAGCACATAACCTGGCACAGGTGCGGCATGGTCACCCCAGAGCTGTCCCAGGATGCACTCTCAGCCTGTTCCCACCTGAGCAAGCCTCATGTCTATTGTATGGGCATCTCCTCCTGCTGCCTGGTCTCTCTGGGGTTCCTGAGCTGCCTCCTACAGGAGACTTTCTAGGACTGCTGGAAAAGCAGGTTGAAGTTCCCCAAGGATGAAGGCTGTGCTGGTTACTCTACCCACTTGGCATGTGTTCCTCCTCTGGCCAGGCCAGGACCCTCTGCAATCCTATCCAGCAACTCTGCAGTCCTTACATAGCAGGGCTCTTGGGGGTGGGGATCCTGCCCAAGCCCTGAGGGTCAGGCAGATCCAGGCCTTGACCCTAGGGCCCCTATCTTCTCATCAGAAGGGCTCTTCCCAGTTTCACTATGTATACCAGGAGCCTCGTTGGGGTGGAACAGAAAGTGGGGCTGGCAGGGTGGGGAACACGGCCCCAGAGCCACTGACCTGGATGGGCTTCTCCATGTCCCCATCACACAAGGACACCAGTGGCACAGTGAACGGCTTCCACACAGGGTCCAGAGTGTACTTGATCACCTGGGAAGCAGGGAGGAGCAGAATGCTCACAGACTCATTAGCGCCCATTAGAGACGGATGTGAAGACATGGGCAAACCCTTAGCCATGCTTCCAATGTTGGAAGCCAACGTTGCGGCCCTTTTGGTGGGATCTACAGGGCTGGGGCAGCACAGGCCGCCCCCTACTGTCAGCTTAACGAATCAAAAAGTCTTGAGATGCCTCCACCCCACCCCTAATGGCTCCTTTTACCTACCTCGGTCCTATGGACTAGCATCCATTTGCCATCGTCCCCTGGCTTGTAAAATTCAAGAAACGGGTCTGACTTCCCGAAGAGGTCCTGGCGGAGAGCAGGACATGTGTGAAAGGAATGGCCCTAGCAGATGCAGGGGGGCTGGAGTGTAGCCCAGCCACCTTCCTGATTTGGGGTTGGGGGGAGCTACAGTGCAGCCAGTCTATCCCTTCTCTTCCCCCAACCTCCCTGAGGTTCAGCCAGAGGCCTGGTGCTACCACCTGAAAAACGAGAACCCCCCCACAGCGAGGCAAGGATTCTGTGTTCTAGAGACCCCATGCCTTAGGTGGAGAAGCTACAGCAGCACAGGGCTCCAAAAAGGCCATGCCTGTCATAAGGCCAGGCACAAGGACATTAGAGAGACCACAGCCCTAAAACTACAGTGTAGGCCAGTGTCACGGTTCAGCAAAGGGTGCCTGCCATCAAGCCTGGTGACTAGAACCCACATGGTGGACGGAGGAGAGCTCACTCTGCAAGCTGTTCTCAGACCGTGTGTTCCATAGCTCTGCGGACCCCTCCAAACGTAATAAATAAATAAACCCACCAAGCCTGTCACCAAAGGGCACAAAGGCATCTAGAAATCCATTCATGCCAGTTAAAAAGAATGGCACTCTGAGGAAGTCACACGGGAGTGAAGGGGACAGAGAGAATCGAGTAAGAATGTACAGGACAAGAGTGGACATCCGGGAGACAGGCGACTGGAGGCCACTGCCACGTCTGTCCCCAAGAAGGCTCAAGGAGGGGGCTGCAGAAGGACAGTTAGGATGCAGGAGGGGCACCAGGGCAATGTTCACAGAAGAGGGTCTCAGGCAGAGAGAAGAGAGCAGGATGGGCCTGAGACGGAAGGGTACCCAGTGCTGTGGGCTCCATGGCAGAGCCCTGGTCTAGCGGGTGTGAGGTCCTGGGTCCCATCCTCAGCACTGGAAAAGGAGAAAATTCATAAAGCCGAGGAAAGCAAAAGGGTCTGGTCTAACCAGGGGGCCTAAGGAGAGGAGGGGGAAGGGCAAGAATCTGGACCCTGGAGGGCCACAGCAGAGTCGGGGAGTGTGAAAAGCAGGCCACAAGAGGGTGTCCAGTCACAATTTGCCTCCTTCCCCACGGCAGTGCACGGTCCCACAGTGGGAGAATTTGCTGCTGCTGGAAGGCCTCCCTGCCTGGCTTACCTTCTTATCCAGCTTCCTGCCGGCCAGGCTCAGCGTGATGACGCGGTTGTCTGACAGTTCCTGGGCTGCGATCTGAAAGGTTGGGGCTGTGAGAGTGGGGTCTGCTCCTCCCCGTCTGCACCCTGCCAGGACCCATCTCTGCAGGGCTAGGTGCAGGGCAGAGGGGAGCGTGAGTGCTAGGTGAGCCCGGACCAGCCTCTTGACTTCTACACCTCGGTTTCCATTTTCTGGAAAATGGGGTAACAATCAGACTGGTTATGAAGACTCAGAGAGTGAGTCCCGTGGCTCAGGAGAGGGGCAGATAATATGGGGGGGAGGTGGTCACGAACCAAAGGGTAGGCTCCGCACCAGTGAGCACGGGCCTCCTCAGGGAGCACAGGCCTCGCACAGGCCTCGAGCTTGGTCTCCAACCTGAGAGCTACACACAGCTGAGTACACTGAGGTCCGGGGAGGATGGGGGATGCACACTAGTCAGCTATTCATGTCTCCATAGCTACAGCCCTCAGACCTCAGCGCAACTGCGAAAGCCCACTGTGGCCTCTCCCCACCGACGGACTCACGGTCCTGCCTCTAAGATGGGCTTACCTGAGAACAGACTTGCTGGAGACTGTGGTACCATCCCTGTACCACAGACAAGGCCCTGGGTCCCGTTCTCCCTCCGTGTTCTTTACCTAGCTTATAGGATGCTACCTATCATTCCATCTCCCAGAGGAAGGAACCCAGGCCTACCTAGCATGGAGCCATGGGCATCCTGGACAAACACTGCATGGGGTCCCCCTGCTGGCATCTGAGTGCAAGGAAGCTTCCCTGAGAGCTGACTGTGAGCTCTGAGGGGGATGGGCAGGGCTGGGGGGTGGTGCCTTCCGGGCTACAACAACAGCCTGGAAACCATCTTGGGGGCTTTTGAGACATGCCATGGATTTGGCTTGCCCTGAACTTGGGGAAAGGAGAAATTATTGAGGCAGGGAAGCAAAGCAGGGACTGATGGTTCTCATAGCTTGAAGGAAAGACTCCACAGGCAGTAGGGAACCATGGGTGGGAGTGAGGGGCCCAAGCGCACACAGAAGTATGAGCTGCTTTCGGCAGCACATCACAGGCTGGGTGAGGAAATCTTGCTTGAGGAACTCTTGCTTCTCTTGGGCTTCATTTCCCTCATCTATGAGATGGGGTTTGCCCTGCCTTCTAGGCCTCTGAGGACCGAGGAGCCCATCCACAGGAAGAGCCTGCCCATAGCTAGAATCACTGCAAGGTGTAGGGGGAACCATTGCAGTTGCTGGAATCACTGAGAGACTGTGTTATATGCATCAGGAGCCTGTGAAATGCTCCCCCATGGGAGGGGAGCCGCAGGGACCAGTATTGGTAGGGGTACTGTGAGGGCTCTGGACACCCCTCCTCCCGATGATAAAGAGGCCCCTGGCCCTGAGCCGCATCATCGTCTAGGGCCTTCTGACAGTCTCCCAGCCAGACAGCCCCCAGTGCATCATCTGTAGAGCCAGAAGCCCGTTGCTAAGAGACCTGTTGCTAAGTTGTAAGTTGGGCCTTTTTACTCCCAACAAAGCTGGTGATTATCTGCTGGAGAAGCAGTCCATTGATGGGGGAGGGTGGCGGAGACAGAGAAGGGATGTGAAGGGCAGGGAGGGGGAGCAGATACCGTGATCAAGCCCTTCCCCGCAGGCTTGTCATTCATCAGCAGCAGAGGCCTGGTGATCTTCTTGCTGGAGACAATCTGGGATGGGAGAGACAGGGAGGAAAGGTCAGGGAGGCAGCAGAGGCTCTTGGGGACGGGTCAACAACAGGACTGTGGTGACGGCCCCATGTATCACACTGCCCCCTCTTCTCTGTGGATGCAGGTGGCGGGCTCTGGGTTTGGTTACTCCTTCCGTGGAAGCTTTCTGCCCAGCCCCAAACTCACTGAGCTACACCACTTTGGGGGCCTGTTGGCTCCTGGGGTGTCTGCATGGTAGATGGGGAGTATGCCAAGAGGATTGGTTAGGGAAAGAGAGCATGGGAAATCCTGTCTGAGGGCTGTCCGACCCCAAGAGCAGAGGTCGACTCCGAGGCCTGTGTGTACCCCACTCCACTTGGGAGCCCCAGGCTCACCGTGCCAAGGCTGCAGGAGAACTGACCCAGGAAGTCATGTTCGTCCAGCTGCGCGCTGGACTTGTCCTGGTCGAACAGGGCGAACTTGAGCTTCTGCACCTCCTCGAAGTGGTAGTCCAGCACGAACTTCTTGGAGAAGGCTGGGTTGAGGTTGTTGACGGCCGTCTCGGTTCTGTCATACTGGCGGAGAGACATGGTAACGGGAGGCAGAGTCACGGCGGCCAGGCCAGGCTCCCTCTCTAGCTGGCGCCTGTCAACCTTCCTACGGAGCACCTCCAGCCAGTGCTCATAGCCCGTGAGCCCCAGCTCACAGGTGAGGACACCAAAGCTCTGAGATGTTACGGACAGGGGAGGCAGGTGCAAGACCCGAGCCCTGTCTTGATTCCGGGAACCTCCCTCTTGACTCTACAGAGCCTTTCCATTCCCAGGGACAAATCCCTGTCCCCATCTGGGCCTGCTTCTACCTTTGTAAAACAAAGGCCTTTGACTATGTGGCTTTCCTATGCTTTACTTTGAGAAAGCCCTTTTCTCAAAAATCACACTGTACAGACAGCTAAGAGAGGAAGCAGATCACAGAGGGAGGTCGGGTCAAGGGCTTCAGTTCGTGTCTTGGACAAAATTCTGGACTTGTCCAGTCTAGCATGTCCACCTCCTTTGGACACCAAAGCCTTGGTGGGTCAGGGCTGGGCACTGTGGGTACATGGTAGTTTGGGCAGGAATCACCTCTGGCCTCAGAACACACACAGAAGAGCCCGACTGAGTCTATTTTGAGACCCAGGCTATGTTGGTTTTTCCTTTCACCAAGGCTTCCAAGGGCAGGAGCAGCAGGGATCGGAAAAGGCCTTGACTAAGACTATTTTTAGCCTGTGTGGACAATCTGGGGGTAGTAGAGATTGGGGGTGTCTTGAGTTGGGGAGACACCACTCCCTGAGGAGCATGCGGGGCGGGTTCTGGAGATATCTCAGAGGGGATTAGTACCTGCAGGCCTGGACTACCCTGGACTCCTGGACTGACTTAGTGCCATACCTCCCTCTGTTGGCTATGCCACCAACACACTGGATAATACAGAAACCCTACATACTCCAAGCCCACTTTCCCCCTCTGTAAATTGGCCAACAATCCCAACTCTTTTAAAAGAAATATTTTTTATTACAAGCATGTTCACTGAGTGCCTATCACTCGTTCAGCTCAAACAGGAACTCAGTGTGGTCCACACCTGCCGTCCCAGCACTCAGGAGGAAGAGGAAGGACCAGGAGTTCAAGGTTAGCTTCTGCTACCCAAAACAAAACGCTAGTATATATTCTGGGAACTATGCATGCATGCAAAATGATATGGAAGATAAGACACTGAGTTGGGATTCTCCTTGGCAGGCAAGTCTACAATCCTCCAGATTGTCTTCCTTGAGTTAATCTGAATCTGACAAGCGACAAATGTAACTTCTTCTGTAACAGGCAAGAGAGCCAGTTCTGAAGGCTGCTAATGTGAGCAGCTCAGGTTTCTCGGTAACCTTCCTAAACCACAGCCTTTCCCAACCCTCAGGTCAGAGGCTCCCAGCCCAGAAGGCCCCCCACCGTGCTGAAGCTAGTCACTGTAGGTGAGGGAAAGAGAAAAGTCCTATTTCAATAAAGAGACAGGACTAGAAAGGGACAGGAGTTCACCTGAGATCGCACAGCAGGGAGTAGCATTGCTGGGCACGAGGCCATCTCCGGGGCTCAAGTTTGAACAACTTATTTCTCTTTGCTTCTGGCCAAGAGGGTGTTAGAAACAAATGAGAAAGGTTCCTCGCAGAAAGCAAGTCCATACAGAACCATAAAGGTTTTCCTAACTATAGCCATATAAACTATTAGGATATAATAAATATGATAATTATATATCTGTGGGTGATAATTTAGACAGAAGTCTAGCTATAAATCTATATCTATATATAGGTGGGGATTTTTTTTTTTTAGACAAGGTCTTATTATGTAGCCTTGACTGGCCTGAAACTCACAGAGACCCACCTGTCTCTGCTTGTATTGGTACTAAAGGCGTGTGCCCCCACATTACCACACCCAGCTAGAAAAATATTTAGGTTTTTTGAGACTGAAACTTACTTATTATGTAGCCTGACTGACCTGGAACTTGCAGTCTTCCCGCTTCAGTGTTGGAATTACAGGTGTGTACCGCCACACCTGGCTTAAGTAATATTTTAAGTACACTTAAAGTTTAATTGTGAAAAGTGACAGTTCCCTAAGTGGTCTTCCACCCCCAGCCCTCGCCCCAAGGGCGGGACCCCAGCATTCTCTGGATCCAGGAGGTGCCCCTCTGCCGCCCAGCCAGCCCTTGCCCATCACAGACACCGCGGCTGGCCTCACCTCCGTCCACCTGCCGTTGTCCTCGGTAAAGAGGACACAGAAGGGGTCAGACTTGGAGGTGACGTCCCGGTCCAGCAGGTTCTGACCACTCACTGACAGCTCCACTTTGCACACACAGCACTGAGAGCCCAAGGGGATGGCCCCTGGGGCGGGGGCACCCCCATCTGGAATGTAGGCCATGGGGGTTGGTGGTGGCAGCAGGAGCAGTTCTTGGCAGTCTGGAGAGGAAGAGTAAGCATCAGAAGGGGACGGATACTCTTCACGTGCTACCCCATTACAAGGAGACCTCAGCACTAGCCCTTCCACAGCTGGGTATAGACTGGGGACACTGGGACAAGCCTGTAATCCCTGCATGCAGGAGGCTGAGGCAAAGGTTCTTGAGTTCAGGGCTAGCCTGGGTTACAGGGCAAGCCTCCGTTTCAAACAAAAACAAGAAAGTAGGCAGTGAGAGGGCAGGTGACGTGGGTGTAAGACATGGGCAAAGGCTTGTTGGAGAGAGAATGCAAGACACTGGGAGGGAATGAGGAGTCTCCGAGAGGTGTACGGTTTGCCTTGGTACCCGTTCTCTGCCTTAGTCCGTCCTTACCCATGAGATATGCACAGACCTGTGTTGCCCATGTAGGAGCACAGGGCATCATAGCAGACACGGGTATCCTCCATGCACTGTGCCAGAAAACCTGGGCTACTCAGTGGCGTATATGATGGCTTGGGTTTTCCTTGTTGCTCTGGCCACTAGGAAGTGGGCTTCTGGTAACTCACTCAAAACTGGACTTCGTTTGCTGCCTGTTACGGTCCTCCTGCACCTCTAGCCCAAGCTCATGACTGGAATACAGAAGGCTTCAGAGCATATATGAAGGGTGCGTGCCCAAATAAGTAAACAAACACATCCTCCTACCCCACTCTGGTCCTGCTCGAGCTGATTGAGCACAAACCTGACACTCCTAGGCATCCTTGACCAATGCAGCTGAGCAGTGTATAATGCCAACTGTCGGTGGTCCTGTTTCCCTCAGAGGACAAGGTGTCCATATGCAGGAGGAGAGGGACTATCTCCATGGGGTAAGGGAGTTGTGGGACCTCTTTGTCACTGGCCCTGCAGACGAGCCTAAAGTTCTCTGGACCTATTTCCTAGCTGCCAACACACTGTCTTACCTTGGTTCTTTGAGATTCCCAGGGGCAGAGTCTAGCTCACAAACACATGCACATTAACACAGCAAACACCTCAAAGGGCTTCATTGATATTCGGTCCCCTTACTGCTCAATGAGTTACTGACCTGCATCTCCCCCAGGAGGGGGCTGATGCCCCTGCGCCTTAGAGCACGGCGGGCCCCCACTGCTTCATACCTCAGTCTTGTGGAGTACATAGTAGTACTATCCCATTTTCCAGGGAAGGAAACCAAGGCCCATGTAGTTCCTCTATTTGTTGAGTATCCACCTCACTCCAAGACCTGCCAGCAGCCTAAGGAGCACGTTCTAATTCTGGTCAACTCTGGGGCTAGAGCTCCTACGGAGCCCCCCAGCCTGGTCTGGCTGAAACACAGTGAGGGTGTAGGAAGGGTCTGTATAAGCCGAGGTCCCTGTGGGTAGCTGGACTTCACAGGGAGAGTGGTGGCAAGCCAGAAGCAGGGTTGGCATAATCTTGTTTGCCTTTTGTGTGTGTGCATCACTTCCTGGACATTCGTGAAGGACAGGGGTTGACACTGGCGCTTCCTCAGTAGCTCTCCACATCTCTGTGTGTGCTGTGTGTGTGCGTAAACGAGAGGTGCGCGTACAGTGGCCACACAGGCAGAGGCCAGAACAAGATGCCAGGAGTCTTCCTCTATCGCTGAACAAGTTTACCTTTTCAGCTAGGCTGGATGGCCAGTGACCTCTGTGATTCTAACCGTCTCCGCCCCTCGAAGTTGGGGCTATAGGCACCCACAGTCATGCCTGACCTTTTAACACAGACTCTGCACCTTCAAACTCAAGTCCTTGGAGCCGCATGCTTACAGGACAAGCACCCTTACCTACTTAGCTGCCTCCCTGAGTTTTTGAGACAGGGTCTCTTATTGAGGCGGGAACTCACCTATCTGTCTACAGTGGCTGGCAGCTAGCTGCAGGGATCTGCCTGCTCTGCTCCTCGCATCACTGGGATTATATGTGCGCAGCATCAGGCCTACCTTCTATACGGTTATTGGGGAACTGAACTCTGGTCCTCATGCATGCACATGGGCCGTCTCCCAGACCTTTAAAATGTTTGTATCTATTCGTTTGTTTATTGCGGGGGGGTATGGGTGGGTGTGCATCCTTAGGTACACGGAGGTCAGAGAACAACCTGCAAACCAGTTCCCTCCTCCCTGAAATCAGAGAAGCCCAGGAAAGAACGAAGGAAGGTCGTTATGCCCAGTGGTCACTCCACCCACTGCGCCATCAGCCTCACCTCTCCTCCTGAGGTAGGATCTCACTATGTAGCCCAGGCTGTCCTTGAATTTATACTCCTTGTTTCTGTCTGTTGCATGCTGGGGTTACGGGTACCAACCTATTTGTCCTCTGGTCTTCTCAAACGCTCACTTTGTCTGAGACAGCTGCCTGTCTTGTTCAGGAGCAGCAGCTGCTGTCCCACAGCCCCTCCCCAATGCCAACTTCCTTCGGGACACTGCACACAGGACCTCCTGGCAGGGAGGAGATGTGGAGAGTGAAGAAGCCAGTCCTCAGCACCCCCCTCCTACAGCTGTCCCTAGACCCTCATTACAGTCGCACTTCTCGAAGCAGCAGGATGGCTCTGCAATTTGCCGGCAGGATTTATTCTTGTCAAAAAAAAAAACAAAAATCAGTTTCTGCAGAAAGGGCTGAGGAGCCACACTTGTGGTGCAAGCCAGCGGCTGGGGATGGAGAGCACAGCCTTAGCAGGCCAATGGGCATCAAAGGTGTCCACACGGCCCCTGCTCTGCCTGGGGTGGGCACGGGCAGGATCATCACCCTACTTTATAGACAGGAAATGGAAGGACAGGAAGTGGAAGCCGATCAGGCGCTGCCCAGGGCCACCATCCAGGAAGTAGTGGAGGATGTTTGTGAGACCATCTCCCTAGGCCCAAGACAGTGCTGGGTCTTCTCAGAGGGGAATAGTAGGGCAAAGTGGGAACAGTCTGGGAACCCAAGAGACCAGGGAGCCTGGAACCAAGAGCAGGCAAGTCAGGGACAAGCCTGTTTTATGTATGTATGTATGTATGTATGTATGCATGCATATATTTTGTAGTGATAGGAGTTTGAAACTGGGGTTCCATATATGCAAGCTAAGTGCTTTACTGAACTATATCCCTAGTCTTTGTCCACCTTTTTCTTTTAACATATTTTTTTATAATTTTTGAGACAGACTCAGGAAGCAAAGGCAGACAGACCTCTGAATTTGAGGTCAGTCTGGTCAGAGACTGAGTGCCAAGAGCACAGAGAAACCTTGTCTTTAAAAAAAAACAAAAACCAACCAACCAACCAACAAACAAACAAATAAATACATCTTGAGACAGTAGTCTCAGTAAGTTACCCAGGCCTTGGACTTGCCACCCCCTACCTCAGTCTCCCAAGTAGGAGGAATAGCAAGACTGTGCCCATGAGCTGGCCCCACTCCCCATTTTATCAAGGACACAGAACCTAGGTCCTCAGCTCCTCCGGCATCACCCTATCCACACCCTTATAGTCTTCCCCACCCCCATCACCGACATGTGGACTTCATCCACCTCCTATTTGCAACATTGGCTCCTCTACAATGGATTTCACGTATCCTAGGCATGAACCCCTACAGCCCAGAGTTCTGTTCCTACCTGGAACGGGTCAGGCCCACTTTCTGGTGCAGCATACATGAGCTCACATGTATGCAACACACATACACATGCACGCATGCATACGCTCAAACGGACGAATACAAAGGTATTTGTATGCTCACATGACCACTCTGAGGACACACCCTCATGATAGTCACCGACCTGTCCACGTACCCAGAATCTTGCCTTTGTTACTGCACTAACATCCCATCTCTAACTGAGGGCATAGCCAGGAGGGCCTGGGCCAGGGGAGCCCACTACAACTCCACCTGGGTCAGCTCCAGCTTCAGCTAAAGGAAAACAGAGCTCTATGAATGGTAGGCGGGGAAGTGGACTCCTCCCCAACCAGGGGCAGGGCTCCCATCTCCAACTCACCCTCTGGCAGGAAGCTCCTGGATCCCCGAAACGGGGAGCACATGGTGTCTGAGGTTGGGACAGGCAGGGGATCAGAGTAGCCCTTGGTGCCAGTGCTACAGCGGGGCAGAGATCCGGACCCTGAGGCCTGACGCAATGGAAAAAGAAACCACAGCCTGGTTGGGCCAGCCCCCTCCCCTCCCTCAGCAGAAGGCAGCAAGGTGTCATTAAGGGGGGGGTTGGGTCTGTGTGTGCATTGGGCAAGAGGGAAAAGCTCCAGGACAGCACCATCTGCAGGTAATTTGGGGTTTGGGGCTGGAAGAGGGGGCACAGGCAGTGAGAACCTGTTCCAAGGTTGATCCTGACACCTGGCACAGGTGGGCGCAGCCCCCTGGCAAAGAGCTTGGAGTCAGGGACGCAAAACCAGTAGTCCCGTTTATGGGTGAGCTAACTGAGGCAAACAGAAACGACTTGGAAGTGACCTGTTGCTGGTCACGCATTCATTCAACAAACATTCCTTATAATATCCTAGGGCTGCAGGAACAAGGCTGAAGAGCAGGTAGTGGTGGCACAGCACTCAGGAGTAGAAGCAAGAGGATTGCGAGTTCAAGTTCAGACTGGGCTATACAGCAAGATCCTATTTAAACATAAAGAATGATACAGAATCACGGCCACCAGGACCAGGCATCTTGCTCTTCTTGATAGAAGGATGGACTTTGAAGACATTAAAACTAAGCTACACACCTAGAGTATTATGGCTTTGACGAGAACACTAGTAATTCATGGCTGGTGACTCCCTGCCCCCCTCTCCCACGTCCCATGGGGCAGCCTCGTTCTACCTGCGGCCAGCATCAGCCTCATTCCTCCACTTGCCCTGCCATGGCCGGGCAAGCTGCAAAATCTCCTGCTCAACAACGCCTAGCCCATGCAGCTCTCCCCTACCCTGCCAGGGGGACTCTTTATTCTCGCAAGTCAAATGCTACCACAGAATCTGCTGATGTCTTCCCCTTCCAAATCACACAACTCCCTCACCACCTCAGGCTGAGGGAGTCGGGCTCAGTTGAGCCTTT